TACGCTAATTGACTTCCTCACCCTCTTTCTGTTTGCCTGCCTCTGGAGTCCCCCAGTCCCTTCAGCCCACCAACCATCCAGGGCCAGCCCAAGGCAAAGGAAAGCCTTGGATGGTGGCTGCCCAGTGAACACCCAAGGTGCAGGCAATCCTCAAATGTCAGCTGCCCAGGGCTGGCCCAAGGGGCATGTAAGCCTTGGATAGTGGCTACCCAGCCACCCATGGCACCCGAGGCTCTTGTAACCAGAGCAGGCTAAGGCTTGTGCTGCCAGCAGTGGCTGCAGCAGCGGTGTGATGGGGCGTCGCCTTCCCCTGATCACTGGGACGCCTCCCGCCCTTAATGACTCCCAGACCATGAGAGGGGGCAGGCCAGGTTGAGAGACCCCTCCCTAAGTGCATGAATTTACATGCACCGGGCCTCTAGTCCTATCTAATAAAAGAATAATATGCAAATTAACCATCACTCCCCTACACCCACAACCACTCCCACCAGCCAATCAGGAGTGGATATGCAAATTAACCAGCCAAGATGGCTGCAGCCAAGGAGCAAGCAGGAGTCTTGACTCTGTGCAAGGCTACAAAGTTTTACTTATAGAAGATAAATAAATTCCAGATCCCAGGGTCTCCACTTGGGTCACCAGGAGGCATGCCCAGCCTGAAAACCACCACAGGCCCCTCGCCATGCCCACCCCAAGCCCCAAGGGAACCCCCACCCTGATCCAAGACACTCTTCAGGGTAAACCAGCTGGCCCCAACCCATGTACCAGGCCTCTATCCTATCTAATAAAAGAATAATATGCAGCTGAAACTGGTTTGGCTCAGTGGTAGAGCGTCGGTCTGAGAACTGAAAGGACCCAGGTTCGATTCCGGTCAAGGGCATGTACATTGGTTGTGGGCACATCCCCAGTAGGGGATTTGCAAGAGGCAGCTGGTCGATGTTTCTCTCTCATCGACATTTTTAGCTCTCTATCTCTCTCCCTTCCTCTCTGTAAAAAATCAATAAAATATATTTAAATAAAATATATTTTAAAAATATATTTTAAAAAAATATGCAAACATCACTCCAACACACAAACTGACCATCACTCCATCACTTCTCATGTGGTCAAAGATGGCTGCCCCCATGTGGACACAAAATGGCCACCACAAGATGGCCAGCAGGGGAGGGAAGATTGGAGGGACCAGGCCTGCAAGGGAGGGCAGTTGGGGCCGATCAAGCCTGCAGGGGAGGGCAGTTAAGGTGACCAGGCCAGCAGAGGAGGGAAGTTTGGGGTGACCAGTCGTGCAGGGAAGGACAGTTGGGGAGGACCCAGGCCTGCAGGATAAATGCAGTTGGGAGGGACCAGGTCTGCAGGGGAGGGTAGTTAGGGGTGACCAGGCCTGCAAGGGAGGGCAGTTAGGGGCAAACAGGCTGGCAGGGAAGCAGTTATGCATCAATTAGGTGGCAGGGGAGTGTTATCAGATAATCAGGCTGGCAAGCAGAAGCAGTTAGGGGCAATCAAGGAAGGCAGGCAGGTGAGCAGTTGGGAGCCAGCAGTCCTGGATTGTGAGAGGGGTCCCAGATTGGAGAGGGTGCAGGCTGAGCTGAGGGACACACACACCCCATGCACAAATTTTGTGCACTGGGCCTCTAGTCAATTAATAATGAATGATATTTATTTGGATAATAAAGGCACATATAATCTTCATTATCTATTGCATACTAGTATGTATGATTGAAAGGTTAAAGTTACATGTGAAATTATTCTATCATTTGTATTTTTAAAGAATTTAGATCACTTTTTCCTGTTTTATTCTCTTGCTCTTTTCCTTCTAATTGTGCTTTCACCAGCTCGTGCCCTCCTATACTTCTTCCGATTTCCACTTCTTGTTCCTTTAGACTCCACTATTTCAGTATTCTGTTTCCTGCCCCCACTTATCAATATTCTAAGATTTAGGTTCTTGCTCTCCCTTCCCTTTTTCTTCATGTTTGGTTCTCAACCACTGTTTCTAGGTTTGGTTTCTGTTTTTTTGTATTACTCCTTTTCTCTAACTGGTAAGATCAAAACTGCAAGGATAAAAGGCAAATTGGAAAGTAAAAGCATAGAGAAAATTGACATGTATTGAATACCTACTCTGTGATAGGTAATTTACTTATTTACTTCTCATTAAATGTAGATATATATTATATCCATTTTATTTATAAGTACAGTAAAGCTCAGAAAAGTTAAACATTTTGTTGTAATGCACAGAACAATTAAGTGATAAAGCCAAGTTTCAAATGTATATTGCTTCATGTATTCATTAATTTTTTTATTCAACAAAAATTTATTGAATACACATAGTATATGTTGGGTATTCTGCTAGGTGCTGCAATATATCCAGCCCTTATTCTGATCGACCTTAGCTATGTAGTGGTACTGTCTGATCTCACAGATGGTGATTTTATGCTATACTAAATAGCTTAAGAGGAAAAAGGAAATAGAAGGTTTTGATGTTTCATGGAAAAGATGTATTTGACATAAATATAAGAAAAATCATATTTGTGCATTACTTAGGAAGAACTCTATTGAAAAGTTGGTTTTTGTCTAGTCCTAGAGAGTCTGATAATCTCCCCATCACCATTGTGAACACCAGTGCCTTGTAGTGACATCACCACAGTATATAATTTCCTTTTCTGTTCTTTTCTAAAATATACAAGAATTGTGTCTATAAACCCAAATTCTCTAGAAAGTCTTCAGAAAGAATTAACTGTCCTCCCTAAATTATGTTTGGGAAAAAAAACATTAATCTATCCATTTATTTATTAATACACTAAAAATAATTAAGATGGTTTATTCAAACACATATAACACAACTTTTGACAAGATAAATGTGGAAAAAAATAGGGCAAGGAACAGTAAGATGCAATTAGATTGTGTTCAGGAAGCATACTAAAACAGTATCCACAGCCCTAACCTGTTTGGCTCAGTGGATAGAGCATTGGCCTGCCGACTCAAGGGTCCCATGTTCCATTCCAGTCAAGGGCATTTACCTTGGTTACAGGCACATACCCAGTGGAGGATGTGCAGGAGGCAGCTGATTGATGTTTCTAACTCTCTGTTCCTCTCTCTTCCTTTCTGCAAAAAATCAATAAAATATATATTTTTAAAAATAAAAAAGTATCCACAAAATTGCCTCTGTTCTAAAAGATAACACAAGCAACATAATTTAAAAACAAACTGTTAGCACAGAAAAAGACTCATTCTTACTTGTGACACCTTACAGGAAATTTCTCTATAGATTCTCTTAAAGAGAATCACAATGCAATGTAGTGAACAATGACTTTAGATACTGTCTGATGTATGAGTTGCACTGAGCCATTTCATTTTGCATGTCACAAAAGAAAAGTCCAGTAAAACAATTCTTTGAAAGGTGAGATGAGGCAATCAAGGTAAACCACTGTGATCTGACCAAATTCAATTGCATATTTTAAGAGTATGTAGAAAATTTAATGAATTGCATATTTTTAGGTGATTCTCAAATATAATTTGACAATTGAGATTTTTATGTGCCAGGTGACAAGTGAGTTTACACAAACTCTTGTAAGTTTTCATTAATGAAATATCATTGCATAGAATACATCCTAGTACATAGATGTTTAATAACTAATGTGGAGATGGATAAATGTTCTGTTTTAAAGTATTTGTTTAAATGAAAGACTTCTCAGTTACATGTTGATATTTTTCCCTTATCTTTAAATAAACTATGCTACTGTACTTTAGAATACATCATCATAACATGGCAATAATGTTTCTTCTCAAGAAACCTCAAAATCATACCAGATTTTGAATTTGGAAAACAAAAGATAAATCCTGATAATGCTAGCTTGACAATTTTTAGCTATGCATTTAAATGAAAGTAATTAACTTTTAAATTTAGGAATTTAAGAATTTTCTTTCTCCTATCTCTGGTCCTCTATTTTTAAACACAATTTATTGAAAAGTTATTTTGGTATATTAGTTTCTTTTAAAATGTCTGCCATTGTATCGAATTATGCTGGGATTCAGTAGACCAGTTGTCCTTAATTCTCTATAGTTATAAGGGGTTAACTAACTAACAATTCATCTTAAAAGTAGACTGACTTTTCTCTATATTACTCCATAATTGACTTTTTATTTCACTTGCATTTTTCTTATTTATTGGAACACTTTGTTTAGCAATTTTCACTTTTGTATTGCCCCCCAAGTATTGTCATCTAAATTTGTAGAAACAAAGGATTAGGGATTAATTAAATCATATATTTCACTCTCATATCTTTATCATCACAGAATAATATATACCGATTTTGATTTAGCTTTAGAAAATGAAATTTTCCTATCTCCTTCATTAGCTTATTCCAAGCTTAAGCACACTTGTCTTAAAAATGTTCTATCTTAAAACTTTTGCTATTTAAAGACTATCACTTTTATTATTTTTAAAATAGATGGTAATTCATATTGAAGATATGGAACCTAGAGGGTTTTTTTCTACCCAACAAATGGGAAAAGTTGACAGGTGACTTCTTGACTTCCTTTTAATTATATCATAAAATTATAGAGCTGGGAGAGATACAAAATGATCATAGGGTTTCAGGGAAATACTAATTATTTTAAAAGTAATAGACAAAAATAAATTTACCCAAATTTCTTACCCTTAGAAATCTATTGAGCCCTAATAGCAATCTGGGACTTCCTTTTAAAATTTAAATTAGGTGAGATGAGACTTTTATCAAATACTTCTGAATTGTCACAGATAAGAAAGGTCTGCTAATATAAGTTCCCTGGATGTCTTGGTTCTCGACTTTTATTTAATGGTCTCAAAGAACTGAGTCTTGCTGCCTTAAACAAAAAAACAAAACAACAACAACAACAAAAAGTCTGGAACTACAAAGGGTGGTTTAGAAAAAGCATGGTTTATACTTATTTTGAAGTTAATTTTTCTACTCTGCATTCCTTATTTTTGGCTAATTTTACTCAGTCTGCTATTTAATCTTTAATTACAGGCCACAAAAGAAGTAATAGAACGGGAAGCACCAGGGATGGCCCTGGCAATGCTGATGGGATCACTTAATGTTACACCTCTGGGCATGCTCTCTAGGTAAGAAAGTCACCAAAATGTTGCAAATAAAATTAATTCCATACTTTTTAGCACTACAATAGACTGATAACCCCCAAAAGACTTGAGTCATAACACTTAAGTTTATCCCATTTTTTCCCCCTAGAATTAAATCTTAGTATTCTGTCCAGTCAGATGTCAGACATTAGTTTCAAGTTTTTTCTTTTGACATATTTAAAGTTTTAAAAAATATTATGTTACTGCTAAAAGTTGTCAATCCTAACACAGAGAAAAACCCAGTTTATTAAGATATAAAATTATTCTTTTTTGTGATTATTTACAATCATTAATTAAAATTCATCAATTGTCATCAAATACTAATTTGATAAAACTAAGCAGTAGAATTTCTAAAATTAAGTTGTTCTCACAAGTTAGTAACTCCTATTCCAATTTGTAATTAGATCTATTGATATCTGATGAAAAAAAGCTCAATTAATAGTAGATTATTATTATTACGTTAAATTAGTATATTTAAAACTGGTTTTGTTGACATAGATATTGACTTCCATCTCAATCTAATAGTTTAGTTATTTATTTGTTACTATTTTAGCAACTCTTAGATTAAAATCTCCTTTAACAGCATATAACATCATTTAAGTTAAAGACAGAAGGGTAAATTAGTGAGAATCTGTTGATTTAATTATTTGATTAAATAGACAGTTGATCTCAGAGCAACCTAAAAATGCACAGCAACTTTATAATATAAGCATTTCATAATCATTATTTATAGCCATTTATTTATTGTATGTGCAATATGAATATATAAATAAATATATGCTTAGAATATGAGTTCTAATGTCCTTTCTTTTATTTGGACTAAGTTTATATCCCATGAAAAGAAGCCACTTGAAAAATAACTAAAAGGAAATGTGAATGGGTCATTAGATACAGTATTCCCTTTACTATCACAATATTATATGGTAATATTTTATTTTAGTAAGAGCAAAAATAGAATTAAAGTAGAATGATAGAGATTTTAAACTTAAAAGACCATGCTGATCTTTAAAGAACTTATAGTAATTCTTTTATTCTGTTGGAGATTTTTTTAGCCTTTATTTATATTACTGTAGATATGAGGTCAAGAGTCACATTTGGGGCCTTAATATATGAATTAAGTGTAGTTATCTTTGAGCACAAAATAATTCCTGGCATACAAGAAATATAGTTTAAGAATTAAACTCCATCTCTTGTTAATCCTTATAATTAAGAGGTAATTTGCAAATTAATCCTCATGCCCTCACAAGATGGCTACCTATGACCAGGACAGCAGGAGATTAGTGAGGGACAACCAAACAATTCAACAGCTGGCTGAATGGGGCGACCAGACTAGTGGGGGCCCATGAGGGGAACCAGGCCAACAGTGGGGGCAATTGGGGGTGACCAGCCAGCAGGGGGGGCAGTTGTGGGCAACCAGGCTGATGGGGGGGGGCAGTTAGGGGGAACAAGGCTGGCTGGGGGAGGAGGGGACAGTTAGGGGCAATCAGGTAGGCAGGCAGGTAAGCAGTTAGGAGCCAGAAGTCCAGGATTATGAGAGGGATGTCCGACTGCTGGTTTAGGCCCAATCCCCAGGATATCGGAATATCTCCTGAGGGGTCCCGGACTGGAGAAGGTGTAGGCTGAGCTGAGGGGCACCCTTCCCCCAGGCACAAATTTTGTGCTCTGGCCTCTAGTTCTTTTATAATAAAAAGCTAGAGTCCCAGTGCATGAAATTTATGCATTGTGTGAGGGGAGGTCCCTTAGCCCAACCTGTGCCCTCTAGCAGTCCAGGAGGATGTCCTACTGCCTTGGAGGTAAGAGAGGCTCCCTGCCACCTCTGCTGTGCTCACCAGCCATGAACCTAGCTCAGGGCTTCTGGCTGAGCAGCACTCAGCCACCATCAGGGGGCAGTTCTTGCATTGAGCATCTGCTCCCTGGTGGTCAGTGCATGTCATAGAGACCCATCATTCTGCTGTTTGGTCAATTTGCATATTAGCCTTTTATTATATAGGACTATAATTTGGCAAGCATAATAATACTGTATTTGACAGGCCCCATAGTAACCATTAGGGATACTAAGAATAGAAAAAAATATATAAGGCCTTGTCCTTAATGATCCCGCAGTTAACCTGGAGAACTTGTTCTTCACAACTGTTAAGGTAATCCTTAAAATTGACTAGATTTTTTTATCTAGTATAGAAACATTACTCTTTGTCTTACTGAAATATTTTTTCTGGATTAATTCCTTTTCCACCTTTTGAATCCACATAATTACTGAGCACTGAACTGCTGAGTAAGTGGAAAATTAATCAACAGGAGCTGATTCTAAGTACCCTGTATAAGGTCATCATCTTTATGCTGAAGGCTTTGAAAATGAAAAATTATACATATCAGGGTAACAGATTCTTCTGACTTTTCCTCCTGTTCAGTGCCGACTAAACTGAGAGTTTTCACAGATTTGAAACAGTTAATAGTCTACATGAGTGGAAAAGGAAATTGTAGAATATTTCCATGAATGTTCTTTTTGGTGCTTTTTAAAGCCTTTTTTTAATTCCTATTTTAAAACAGCCATGATTAGATTTATGCTTCCTTTCAATAGCATTTTTACCTTGTATGTGCTCTGGACTTTGCACATATTTCTATTATAATTCATCCTATATTGTAATTATTTACTTTCTTGTCTGTATTACCTAATTTGTATAAAACGCTCAAGAACAGTAGCTTTGTCTTATTAATTTTTACATCCTCATCCTGTAAAACAACTTTTAACACATAGTAAGTACTCAAAAAATGTTTATTGTTAAGGTTGTTTTATTAATAAATCAATAGATCCTAATTCTAATAGAATTTTTTTTCAAGATAATCTATCAAGTTGGTGTCTTGCATTTCTGTTTTTATCTCTAAAGAGCAGAATTAAATAAAAATACCTTTCAAACTCACCACATCTGTTCCAAAGTATTTTTCTCTGTTTGGCTACTTAATATACTATAGATTTTCTGTACAAATAAGTTGTAAGATAATATCAAGTATTAGTTAAGACCATCATCTCTGAAGGCAAATGGCTGGCTTGGGTTCTATTCGGGCTCTACTACTTACTAGCTACTTAACATCTTTTATTTTCTTTTCTGTATAATGAGGATGTTAATAGTACCAGTCTTCTTGAATTAAGTGAGTGAGTCCATGTAAAGTACTACAACAACAACTGATTACTAAGTCTTATTTAAGTATTGATCATTGTTGTCTTTATTGGTTGGGTGTTCTAGTTCTTAAACAAGTCTGTTGGAAACAACTTCTAATAGCTTTCTTTCATCTGAAAATGCCTTTATCTTACCTTCGTTCCTCATGGATATAGTCACTAGATGTAGAATTCTGAATTGATAGCTCTTTTCTTTTAGCACATAAAAAAATAGTTGCACTGTTTCCTGGCTCCATGATTCCTAACCAAACTTAAGTGATAAGGAAAGTTATAGCTATAAATGCTTATATTTAAAAAGAAAAGTCTCAAAACAACTATCTAACATTATAGCTTAGGGAACTAGAGAAAGAAGAATGAACAAAACCCCAAACTAGAAGATAAAAGAAAATAATAAAGATTAAAGCAGAAATAAATAAAATAGCAACTAGGAAAAGCAATACAAGAAAATTAACTAAACCAAATATTATTTATTTAAAAAGATCAACAAAATTGGTTAATCTAGATGAAATGGACAAATTTCTACAAACACAAAGCCTAGTAGATTGAATCACAATGGAATAGAAAGTCCAAATAGATGTGTAACTAGTAAGAAGATTGAATCAGTAATCAAAAACCTACCTACAAATAAACGGCTTCTCTAATAAATCTACCAAACTTTAAAAAAAAATGGATACCAATCCTCAAACTCTTCAAAAAAATTGAAGAGAAGGAAACATTTCTAATTAATTCTATGAGGGCAACGCTACCCTATACCAAGGAAAGACAAAAAAAACTATAAGAAAACAATTGACCAATATTCCTTATGGACATTGATGCAAAAATATTCAACAATATACTAGCAAACCAAATTCAGCAGCATATTGAAAGAATTATGCACCATGATGAAGTGGGATTTATATCTAGAATGCAAGAATAGTTCTTCATACAAAAAAAAATCAATATACCACAGTAACAAAGTAAAGGATTAAAAATACCAAGTATGTCAGTTGATACAGAAAAATTATTTGACAAAATTTAGCATGCATTCATGGTAATGACATTTAATCTGAAATAGCAGCAAACTACCTTAACACAATAAAGGTCTTATATTAAAAAACACACAGCTGATATCATACTTATTGGTACTGATATAATACTCAATGGTGAAAGACTGAATGCTCTTTCTCTAAAATAAGAACAAGATCAAATTGCCAATTTTTGCCACTTAAAAAAAAATCCTATTGGAAGTTGTAGCTGGAGCATTAGGCAAAAATTAATTAATTTTCCCAAATTGGGAAGGAAGAAGTGAATTTATTCCTGTTTGACTTAATCTTCTATGTAAAAAAAAAAAAATCTAAAGATTACACATACACTCACACACACACACACACAACCTATTAGAACTAAGAATTATATCCAGCCAAGTTTAAGATACATAATAAACATGCAAAAGGAAATTATGTTTGTATACATTAACAATGAATAATGCAAAAGGAAATTATAAAAACAATTTCATTAACAATAGCATTTAAGAGAATAAAATTCTTAGTCATTATCTTGATCAAGGAGGTGAAAGATTTGTACACTGAAAACTACCAAACATTGCTGAAAGAAATGAAAGACCTAATTAAATGGAAATCCATCCCAGGTTTATGGATTAGAAAATTTAATTATTAAAATGCCATTACTACCCAAAGTAATCTACAGATATAATGCAGTCCTATCAAAATACATATAGCAACATCCTTTTGCAGAAATAGAAAATTTTATTTTAAAATTTATATAAAAATTTCAAGGGACCCCAAATAGCTAAAACAATATTGAAAAAGAA